TGAGAAAAAAATATTGTTCGATTTCTAAAAAATACCGCTGACCCGCTTATACTGCTTAATTTAGAGGCTAATTTTGTAGGATATGAATATGTGATTCGGCCATTCGGGCATCACAACGCATAAACAGCAGAAAACAATGCATGTCGGCAGAATTCTCCTCCGGCAAATTTTGTATTAGATGTAATGTAAGGGTGGGAAAACGACATAAGATATTTGACTTGACTAATACGGAACATTCATTTATATCTACTCACTCCGGCGCTAAAGAATTATCATTTTTTGTTTTCGTACCATAAATTTGATTAGATTTATTAAAAAATAGATTTAACGATCTATCTAATAATATTAATTGTATTCTAAATATTAATATTTTTATATAAAATTAGTCAAGCTTATTTCTTCTCCGTATATCGATCCCTATCTAATGTGCACCTAATATAAATGAAGTATAAAAATTCTTTCTTACTCGCTCAACCATGAAACCTCGTTTACATGTACCTAAGACTAATGGTGTTTGGGGATGCAGGGCATGGAGCGTGTTAACGCTAATGCCTTCTTCAGTGAGCTTTCGGCACAGCTGGAAGCCAGAGGCAGCAGGTGGGGGCGTCCTAGCTCATGTCCTAGTCATGTCAGCACAACTCGGCCGCCGTACCACGCCACCAGCATCGATCGGTGGACATCGTGGATCCACAGTAACCTTGTCACTGTGTGCCAGATTCTTCCGGAAAATATGACAAAAAGGAAGAGATCCATCGAAGCGGCGGGGCAGGCATCGAGGGCGCCGAGCTCTGGCCCCAGACTCTTGTGCCGACCTGCTCGTCAAATCAGCGTCACGTTAGCGTCGATTTTAAGATCTCGACACTCGAGCAGTATAAGCTTAGCATCAGCGACAATCAACCTGTTCGGCACTGCTGGCTGAATCGTGGATTATTATTGTTGGCTAGTTTGGTGTGAGAAAAAAATACTGTTATGCCTGGAAGACACTGTTCATATAAACAGTGCCAGCGTGAGAGGGCTGGCCAGCACCAGCCAGCCAGTCACTCTAGCCGAACAGGCTGGATAGCGTCGAGCTAAGAGTCCAAATTCTAAAATCTATCGTCGAGAACGTATTTATGAAAAACTTTGAAAAAAAAAGAGCTAAACAAATAAACTTTGAAAAAAAAGAGCTAAACAAATAAAAAATTCGGCAGGCTTGCGGGCGCTTCGACTGCACGCCTCCTATCCCGGCTCCCGCGGCCTTCTCTGTCGTTCGTCGCTCCGCCTTCTCGGCTTCTTCGGATCTGACGATTGCGGCTGGCCGTCGCAAGCAGCAAGGCACACCGGCCAGCGCCCAGCGGCCAGCGCGGCAGCGCCCAGGCAGACACCAGGAGCGCAGCAAGGCAGCAAGCAGCAGCGTACTGAGCAGTCAGCACGCCTCTCTCCTCTTCGTGTCCATCATTTCACAGGGCCCCGTTCAGCTTACCCGGAAGCCGGTTTGTTCGGCTCGTTTTTTTAATCAAAATAGTATTTTTTTTTTCACGACAATTCAGGCAGAACAGTATTTTTCAGTCATTTTTAGCTAAGTTTTAGCAAGCCGAACAGGCTTTTCAGAGTTTCAGTTTCTATCAATTTGACCATCCAATGATTTTAATTTTGTAATTCCTGTCTTTTCTCTTGGTACTTTGTACAGATTCTAGGGTTACGATTTTTTATTCATTAGCTAGTTCAAGAGCTTAATAGCCGCTTTAGTGAGACGAAGCTCTTACTTGCTTGTTTGTTTTCAGTCCAAGAGTTTCATTTCATGATTTTGATGTGGAACCTAGCAAAATTATATCCGGATGATTTTAGCTCTAGAGATTTGAGGGATCTTAGCCACTACCTTGGCCTCTACATTGCTGATGTGAGAGAAGACAATCGGTTCTCCAACATAAATACTATTAGTGAGCTTTCACATAGAATGGCGGAGACAAGAAAAAAATCTTTGTTATCCATTGGTTTATCGACTTTTGAAATTTGTGCTGGTCTTGCCGATTGCTATTGCAATAGTGGAGAGAATATTTTCGGGGATGAAGATTGTGAAAACAACTCTTATTAACCGCATGGGTGATGCACACTTGAGTAATAGACTTATTTGCTATGTGGAGAAAGAAGAATTAAAGAAAGTTACAAATGATGCTATGGTTCATCACTTCATAAACATGGAAGGAAAAGGACGTAGATCTGATCTATAAGAGGTAATGGACCTCTTTTCAATTTTTTAATATATTATATAAATTGTTTGCTTAGAATGAATGGTTTATTTCTTTTTCAGTGAGGATTTCGTAGTTAACGACTGTATTTTGCCAACGCCGACAATGTTTTGTTGTTATAATTGTGGGATTTGCTTACTGTATTTTGGTAAATGGTAAGCACAAATATATTATTACCGCTATTTCATTGTTGATCTACAACAATATTGCTTGTTTTAACTATTCATGTTAAAATTATGGCTATGGTGCTATTGAGTTGCATTATTGTTCTATCGTTAGACCGCAAGCCGCACCCCCTTCATAATTCTCTAGCTCCGCCACTACAGATGTGTTTTGTCTATACGCGTCTGCGAATGTATTTATTACATACGCGTCTATGATATGTGAGTGCTGTTCGGCTGATGGTTTTTGCGGCTGATAAGTCGGATCAAGCTGATTTGTTATGAAAGAAAAATAATGTTCTATGGCTGATAAATAGGCCGATAAGTTCAAACGAATAGGACTGTGGTATATCACAGACGCCTTATGGGAGATGTGTGAAACCGCGTCTGCGATGTGAGTTAAGCCGCGTCTGTGATATGATTTCTTTACATAGTTTACCACTCGTTTTTGCAAGGAAATAGCTTATTCCTTGACCTGACCGACCGGAGACTAGCTAACAACTAAAGTGCTCTCTAGGTTCTCGCCCGGTCAGAATCCCCAGTTCATACTCGGAAGGCACTTCGCTGCCCCACCAGCTCGGAAATTGCAGCAAGGGGATGGGTCCCGGCGCCTGGCTCAGGCCTTGTTTACATCACCTCTAAATTCCAAGTTTTTTTACTCTCTCTCCACCATATCAATTTTTAGACGTATGCATAGAGTATTAAATGTAGGTAAAAAAATAACTAATTACATAGTTTGGTTGTAAATCACGAGATGGATCTTTTAAGCCTAGTTAGTCCATGATCAAACAAAGTTTGTCAAATACAAACGAAACGTGCTATAGTGTCCAGGTTACAAAAATTTGCAATCTAAACGAGGCCTCATTGTCATTTGTGGTACCAACTGCAGCAGGTTCAGTCAGTCAGCCTAGCCGGTCCACACGGCACACAGGTCCTCCGCCCCCGCGTCGCGCTGCTCTTCTCACGCGCTTGGTTTCACCGACGACCGACGTCGCGATCGCGAACCCGCAATTCTAATCGAAATCGCCCAGCATTTCTCTGTGAAAGTTCCCTCCGAAGGAGCCGCAACCACAACCACAATTCACACCCAACCTCCTGGCCTCTCGAGTCTCTAGCTACCTCGCCCGCTGCCTTTAAAGCCCGGCTCCCGCATAGCTCTGTGCATCCAACCATCTCCAACGTCGTGTCTTACGTGCTCATACAACGCCACCCGCACTTCGCCCCCAGAGAACAGCACACTACCCCAGCAACACCGATGGCCCCCCCTGCCAATGCCCAGCAGCAGCCGCAGGTGCAACTGGTGGGTGGCCGCAAGGTGGTGGACGAGGTGTCCGGCTGGCTGCGCGTGCTGGACGACGGCAGCGTCGACCGCACGTGGACCGGCCCGCCCGAGGCCCTCCCGCTGATGGAGCCGGTGCCGCCGTACGCGGTGCCACGAGACGGGCACACGCTCCACGACCTACCGGGGGAGCCGAACCTACGCGTGTACCTCCCCGAGGCGAAGGCGGAAGGCGGCGCGCGCCTGCCCGTCATCCTGCACCTCCACGGCGGCGGCTTCTGCATCTCCCACCCGTCCTGGCTCATGTACCACCACTTCTACGCGCGCCTCGCGTGCGCCGTCCCCGCCGTGGTGGTCGCCGTCGAGCTCCCGCTCGCGCCCGAGCGCCGCCTGCCCGCGCACATCGACTCCGGCGTCGCCGCGCTCCGCAGGCTCCGCTCCATCGCGCTGTCCGAGGACGGCGCCCTCGACGACGACCCGGCGGCCGCGCTCCTCCGCGTGGCGGCCGACGTGTCCCGGGTGTTCCTCATCGGGGACAGCTCGGGCGGCAACCTCGTCCACCTCGTCGCCGCCCGCGTGGCCCAGGATGACGCGGGCAGTTGGGCGCCCCTCCGCGTCGCCGGCGGCATCCCGATCCACCCGGGGTTCGTGCGCGCCACGCGGAGCCGGTCGGAGCTGGAGACGAAGGCGGACTCGGTGTTCTTCACGCTGGACATGCTGGACAAGTTCCTTGCCTTGGCGCTGCCGGAGGGCGCTACCAAGGACCACCCCTTCACCTGCCCAATGGGTCCGCAGGCGCCGCCGCTTGAGTCCGTGCCGCTGCCGCCGCTGCTTGTGTCCGTGGCCGAGAACGACCTCATCCGCGACACTAACCTCGAGTACTGCAACGCGCTGCGCGCCGCCGGCAAGGAGGTGGAGGTGCTGATCAACCACGGCATGAGCCACTCCTTCTACCTTAACAAGTACGCCGTCGACATGGACCCCACCACTGGGGAACGAGCCCGAGAGCTCATCGACGCCATCAAGAGCTTCATCTCACGCCACTGAAGTGCAAGAACACATACTACCGCTTATGGCAAGAGCACACATGAATCACTTCATCAAAATTTAAGTTAAATTTCTTTTGTCGTTTTCTCTTTTCCTTGAGCCGGTTTTTGCACAGGGAAAAAAAGAACTACAGTTGCAAATGCAAATAATGTGTTACAGAGAATAATTCTAGGCAATAAAAATAAAATTATTCGCCCAATATATTCCAACAAATTATTCACCCAATTATATTTCAAGCAAGAAAAAAAAAACATCTCATCCAAAAGTAGTGCTTGTGTAATTGCTTCAACAGCTCATCCAAGAGTAACACTTCAAAGTCTGACTTATGATCTCTACGTTAATCATGACTTGAGCACCCTTCAAAACCTGAAGGTACTCCTTGTTCTGCCAAGATAAAAAAACTTCAAAGTCAACTCGGTCAAACTTACATCAACAGAAAACGCAACCAAGGCATACATACGTGTCTGGACATGCAGTCTAGTTCTTGCCGCATGCTGCCCAACTCTAGACACTTGCTCCGACCATTCTCCCTGCTGCAGAGCGAATGAAGGTCTCAATGATCAGCACTTAGCGTCTCTCTCTCTCTCCCTATTTATAGAAACACTTAATCTTAGTTTCATACCGTTATATTTTTCTTCAGGGTGTCGATATAACCGGCTGCACTATCTCTGTAAAAGTCATTTTCACCACTCAGGCACTCACCCATCATCATTGCAGAGGGCATGTATAGAGTGGAGCACGAGCAGCTCCATGAGCTGTGCGGTTGCCACCCATCTGGAATCCTTGTGCCTCCATTCATCATTTCCATCAATCTCGCCATGGAACACCTGCCACTACATTGGCATCCCCGCACGGCTCAAGCAGCATCCTGTCACTGCACCACCAATTAAATTTCATTTCATACAATATTCAATAAGCGAGGGCTCATTCAACCGTTCATTTTCAGAGGATTCAATCGACCAACCAATCAACCAAAGCAATCTATTCTAAAGCACGTAATTCATTCATCAGTTACAAATACAGCACATTGTTTCAAGTCGCACGCAATGCATCATAAAAATAGGCTACTGAATGCTACTGCAAGCCTCATAGTGAAACAAGAAAACATGTTTCTTCTGTACCCCTAAATAAAGCAGCAGCATATCATTTTTTAGGATTAACAGCAGCATACCGTTTTTTTAGATCAACAGCAGCATACCTTCAGTAAGTTATAGGCAGCAAATCTGCATTATATTGTTAATAAGAAGAGCTTGCTGAATTTATTGTATCCGTAGCACTGAAATATGCAAACCATATGTATATGTAACAATAGTGTCATAATTAGATGCAGAACATTATTACCTACCTTTACTGCTATCTAATGCATCATATAATTACTTTAGGACCTAAGCAGCATATCTAATGCAATGTAAACATAGATATCATTTATATTTGAAAACCATCACTGAACAGTGAACTGACTATTACATACTATTTCAGTAGTTCATGCAAACGTTAAACTTCTGTAGAAATCATCTAGTGTTGCTACTGTTCTACACGTAATGCCTCCTAGATGTGGGTCACTATTATCATGCCTTCAAAATAATGTGCCTAATAAATCTCATTATTGCCAAGAAAAGTTAAATAGGTCGATAATGGTTTCCAGTTGCTAATCGTCCTGAAGGAAAGGTGTTAATAAGAAGAGCTTGCTGAATTTATTGTATCCATGGCACTGAAATATGCAAACCATGTGTATATGTAACAATAGTGTCATAATTAGATGCAGAACATTATTACCTACCTTTACTGCTCTGATATCAAGTTTTATTTCGAGGACCGTAAAGGATCCAAGTTGTGCTTCGTCGTCAGGTCATGGATGCTAGCTGAGAGATGTTCTGCACATAAGGGCGTACCCAGTGCAGAGAGCTCCCGCTCTGTGTGGGGTCTGAGGAAGGGTGTGAGTGGCAAGCCTTACCCTGGCCTGTGCAATGCGAGGAGACCGCGACTCGAACCCGGGACCTTTCGATCACAAGCACAGTAAGACTCTACCGCTTGCACATCACAGAAAAAAAGAAGGAAAGGAAAATTTAGTCATCAAAGATAAGATTCAGAAAAGAAAACTGGTATGCAATGGAACAATAATTTTTTAGATAATAGTTTACCTTGAATGAGAAGTTGCTGTAATAATATTTCACCGACAACGGTGCACCAAATTTTTCCATGCTGCCACACTCACCCCTGCTACCAATTAAATTCAAACTCATGAGAAGAGATGAGAATTGGGCCCTAAAAATGGCTTGGGTGTCTGAAGTCTCACAAGGAGGGATCAGTTTATGATACAGCCATACAGGACACTCACATCTTCCTCGTAGTCACTATACGGACTACTGCCGTAGCTCATGCTACAGGTCTCGCTCCGGTTACATAAGATATGAATTGTCTCTTATGAGTTGTCCTTTGATTTATAGCAGTTGGTTACAAAAGATTGTTGCATGAAAATTCGGTCACCTGAAATTTTCTCAAATAAAACGTGTTACTATGCAGCAGTAGTAGAAATGGTTTAGTGTAGTAACCTTTTGTCTAGCAAGCATGTCCCAGTTGGTGTCCTTGAAGAACGGGCGGGCCTTTACCTGCCCTAATATCACATTTCAGTTAGTGTCGCATGCACAAGACTGGGGATTTCTTATAAAAAGAAGAAATGAGGAGACCAAGAAAAAGGAGTACCTCTCCACCACCAGTCGCGCCTAATCTTTGCACCGGGTTTTCCATCAGCAACCTAATATGATTTGAAAGTTAATGAGTCCAAATAGCAATTTGTAGGTAGCACATATGAAGACCTAGTGGGCGTATGTGTGGTTGTGCATGTTGAACCTCATATGTTTTCTGACTTACTTGTCTATCAAATCATAAGCTTCAAAAATCAGCTCTGCTGGTACGCATGGCCAAGGTATTTCTCGGTTCATTATGTTGTCGAATATTATCTACAATAGACCCATATTATTACAACATCAAATCAAATTAGGATTAAGAAACTGAAAAGGATTTGTCCATTCACTTCTGAAAATTAGTCCACTTGCATTGCATACAGAGTTACAGACTTTCAAATTCAAATTCATTCCACATCTGCACATAATAACAAATAGAAAACTTCCAATAGGCAATGCGCATACATACTAAGTACCCACGGGTGCTCAGCATTGAAGGGAGGAATCCCCACGAGCAGCTCGAACAGGATGACGCCAACCGACCACCAATCTCAAGTCATGGATGCATACTATAATGCATATGTGCAAGAATTTACTGATGCGGAGGACACATAGATGGAATTTATTTTTTACTGCCACAACTGCATCCAACAATATAATATGATGAACCAAAAAAAATCAGATGTATGCAATAGTGTGGATTTGTAAAAACTTAACAATGAACTGGTTATTGATTTGTACTCAAAACTTAACAAGATGCTATATATTCCATAGGGGGAATGCATCATACAATTACTTTAGGACCTAAACAGCATATCTCATGCAATGTAAACATAGATATCATTTATATTTGAAAACCATCACTGAACAGTGAACTCTGACTATTACATACTATTTCAGTAGTTCATGCAGACGTTAAACTTCTGGAGAAATCATCTAGTGTTGCTACTGTTCTACATGTAATGCCTCCTAGATGTGGGTCACTGTTACTATGCCTTTGAAATAATGTGCCCAATAAATCTCATTATTGCCAAGAAAAGTTAAATAGGTCGATAATGGCTTCCAGTTGCTAATCGTCCTGAAAGAAAGGTGTTTATAAACCAATAGAACAACCATGGTCCTTTCCTTCAATAAAAGAACCATAGAGATTAAACAAAAACTATTCTTGAAGAAAGCACAAATAATATTTGTTTGTTACTGGTAACACCAAGATTTAAACTCAGTAGAACTAAAACTGAGTATATGAAATGTGACTTCGGCACTACTACTCGGGAGGAGGAGGATATTAGTTGGGAAGGTCAAGTAGTGCCTAGGAAGGATACCTTTCGATATTTAGGATCAATGCTACAGAGAGACGGGGATATTGATGAAGATGTTAGTCATAGAATCAAAGCAGGGTGGATGAAGTGGCGCCAAGCATCTGGTATCCTATGTGACAAAACGGTACCACAGAAGCTTAAAGGCAAGTTTTATAGGACGGCGATTAGACCTGCTATGTTGTATGGTGCAGAATATTGGCCTACGAAGACATGTTCAACAGATAAGTGTCGCGGAAATACATATGTTGCGTTGGATTTGCGGTCATACAAGAAGGGATCGAGTTCGGAACGATGATATACGTGATAGATTAGGGGTAGCACCAATTGAAGAAAAGCTTGTCCAACACCGGTTGAGATGTTTAGACATGTTCAACAGAGACCTCCAGAGGCACCGGTGCGTAGTGAAATCCTAAGCCAGGATAGTAACATGAAGAGAGGTAGAGGAAGACCGAAGTTGACTTGGGTAGAGACAATAAAAGGAGACTTGAAAGGATGAAATATACCCAAAGACCTAGCCTTAGATAGGAGTGCTTGGAAAACAGCTATTCACGTGTCTGAACCTTGATTGCTTCTGCTGGGTTTCAACTCTAGCCTACCCAACTTGTTTGGGACTTAAAGGCTTTGTTGTTGTTGTACTGGTAACACCAAGAGAGGCAGTATAATAGGCTAAAAAATCATTGGTGCTGCCTCCATTGAAGGTCGAAGCCTCAATGCTAGCAGAACTCTAAAACCCCAAGCATCAGAAGTTTAGAACACTGAGTGGACTTTCTTTGCATGTGTTCATCAAGAGCAACCTTCCTTTGTTACTGATAACACTGAAGCGAGAGCATGGCTACTGGCCACAACCAGTTTATCATACAAAATAGTTCAGTGCAGAGCAGAGGTACACTCACTTTGCTTTGCTGCAGATGATGCTCTACATGGTGTCGTCGCCGAATAGGATGCTCATACAAAATAGTTTGAACTTGACGGTCAACTGCTCTTCTTTCTTGTCAGAGAACTGCCGCAGACAAACTCAGGACTATGCCTAACAACAGAAGGATCCAACTGATGCTTAGCATCTCAAAAGAATGTGCATAGTCGAAACTCGACTATCCAGCTGCTGCACAGGATAAAAAGTGGGCACAAAATAAAAGATCAATGTACCAGGCACGTCCTCGCTGACGAGGCAGGGACTCTGTCTCTTCGGTGATGTTGTCGACGAAGTCCAGAAATGCCGCCGCCCAAGAAGTTGAGGATCCAGGCACGTCCATGCCAGCAACGCAGGGACAGGGGCTCTTCGGTGATGTCGTCGGTGAAGTCCAGCAACGGCTCCGACCTGCCTTTAATCAGTTCAGCTGTTGGTGATCAGATTGTCGCTCATACCAGGCTACAAGCAATCAACTTAGGACATTAAAAATTCAGAACTAAGATATCTGAATCTTATAACATTTTAAAGTAAAAAACGTCTCAGGTGCACTCTTAATTTAAATACATGTGCACATATAAATCAGCTAGGTTAACCCACCTCAAATACAACTGTAATACAGATTTCCCAATAGTATTGAACTATTTCCTCTGAGTGTCAGTAACTAAGAAATTCCAGTTGTTTATCAGAAAATTATACATCACATTGTGCACATATTACGACAGAAAGAAATCTCTACTGAAACAAGAAATCAAGCACAACAAAAACACTATGTTCATGTCTAGCTAAGGGTAAGCAGGTGCGCTGTGCACATCGATGAACAACATAGCGACATAAATGAACAGTGTAGCGGTGACGGTGTCAATTTCGTAAGGTTATTTCAGACCTAGTTAACTAAAGACAAAAGTGGAGACCACAACCAGCGGCACATGTACGCTTGATAATCTTTGGAAGGGATCAAAGTTAGTAGTCTTAATACATGTATACACTTGTAATTGGATCAGATCCAAATACAAATGCTCGGTTTCACACAGCATAAAGGCAAGAGAAAAGGATGAGGAGCACAAGGCTAAGAACATTCAGAGCAAAGCATATCAAATCTCACAGGGCATTTAGTGTGCACATGTACGACTAATAATCTTTGAAAGGGATCAAAGTTGTAGGAATAATACTTGTATACACTTGTAATTAGATCAGATCAGACCCAAATACCAAATTAAAGGGGAAGAGAAGGGGTGGGCATACCTGTTGTGTGCTCGTCACCGTAGAGCTCCTGGCGTCAACGGGGCAGGTCGTGGAGGCGGCCGGGAGGGTGTGGAGCCGGCGGGGTGTCTGGTGGCGGCGACGGAGACATGAGCGCCATGGGGAAGGTCGTGCAAGCAGCAGCGTGGAGCCGTCTGGGCACCCGGTGACGTGCGCGTCCGGCTGCGGCACCGGAGACCTGAGCGCCTGGCGTGATGGGATGTGGAGACGGTGGCGCGAGGGGCGAGGGCGACGCGCTGGGATCGCGAGGGCGACGACAGCTCGGGTGCGACGGAGAGGGAGAGGAGGCCGCGGCATGTGCGAGCGAAGGGATAGAGCGCGATCGGCAAGGGGCACGGGGGCGTGATTGGACGACGCAATCTCGCGAGCGTGATTGGAGGATGTGGGAGCGGGATCTCTGGTGGGCGTGGGATCGGATCTCTGGCAGGCGCGGTATCGCACGGAGGAGAGGCAGACCCAACAGTTACCGCACCATTCGATTGTCTCAGTTTTATTCTTTTTAGTGGGCGTGGGATCGGATCTCTGGCAGGCGCGGTATCGCACGGAGGAGAGGCAGACCCAACAGTTACCGCACCATTCGATTGTGTCAGTTTTATTCTTTTTAGTTGTATTATAGGAGATTATGTCTCACATTGATGTGTCGTGTTCCTAGCATCTACTCCTCTATCCTAAAATAAGCATCGATATGATATTCGTGTTGGTCAATCTCTTTTAAGTTTGACTAGGTTTATAGAAAAAATATTAGCAATATTTAGGCCGGTCTCAGTTTGACATTCATCTTACTATTTCTAAGACTCATATACGTTGAAAACAGTATAAACAAGTTTTATCCTCATAAAACATATTTCATCCCATAAATGTTTTTCATCTCTCTATTTATATCAAGTCACATCAGCTTTTTAATGTCTATAAAACTCTTATAAAACTACTATTGAGATCGGACTTCTATCTTTAAATAAATTTATTATAAAAATATATTTAACAGAGACAGTATACTCTATAACTAGCTATAGAATACCATCTGTACCCAGGCCATCAGACGCACCAGCATTCACTCAGCTGGCGCACCTGGCCGAACCAAAAGCTCGTAAATGAGCAAGCCGAGCGGCCGAGCCGCTAGAGCCAACATATCAGGAGCCCGGGCTTGCAGCTGCCATTAAGCCGCGGCGTAATCAACGCTCAAGCAGGTCGCAGTTACTTCCTTTCCAAAAAGGCTGCATGCGCATTAGGGCTGCATGTTCGGTACAGGAGTAAAGAGCTACGTTTCAGACTACACGTGAATGGTTTCGTATGACGCATTTAGAGGGTGTTTAGATGATTTTGAAATGGCAAAACTTTTGCTCTAAAACTTTTGCTATTCAAATTTTACATCTGGATATTTAGATACATGGCAAATGTTTAGCACTGTACCAAATAAGTTCAATCTACAACTCACGTCCCAAGACATTTTTGTCCAGTTTTGGACCTCTTGGGTAGTACATGGCAAAAGTTTAGCAACCTATGTTTTGCTCTTTTTTGCCTATGCTGTTTAGATCTATTTTGTTAAAAGATGGGCTAAAAGTGCTAAAGTTTTGGCAAAAGATGGAAAATAAGAGCCTGTTCAGTTCCCAACTTTTACCAAAACTTTTGCTATTTTATCCCATCTTTTGGCAAAATAGATCTAAATACAATTGGCAAAAAACAATAAAACTTGGATTGCAAAACTTTTGACATTTCGGAGCCAAGAGCCGCAAAACTAGGCAAAAACGCGTGGGGGGTGAGCCGAACACCCACTACCCCGCACCCACCCACCCCGCCGCTCAGGTTCTATCCATTCCTCAGCACTCACTCCCCACCGCTCTCACTCTCTCCCTCCGCGCAAACCCTAGCTCCACCCGCCGCTCTCGCTCTTAGCCTCCACGGCCGACCAGATCTAGCTCCTCCTCGTCGGCCCCCAAATCGAACTTGTCCTCCCCGGCCGCCAGATGCAGATCTGTGCATCGCAGATGGACGGCTTCAACGGCGATGGCTGCGGCGACAGCGACGGCGATGGCTACGGCAACGGCGACCGCACCAGGGACTTCCTGTCGCAGCCTGATCCATATTCCCCCACCGGCGGCTACGGCATCTTCAACGACGTGGCATATCCCTTTCCGGGCTCGAGCAGCGTCAATGCTCCCCGGGTGGGCATGGCAATGCTTGACCTCAACTCACATGGTGAAGAGTGGCCCGGAATGGCGGGCTATGAGGGTCTCCTTGGCTCCGGCCCGCAAGGTAGAGGCATCGGCGGCAGCATGGGCCCCCCTCCCGTTCGCGTCCGCAGCGATAGTCGTACCCTCGGCACACGAGCGGCTCGCGAGGCGCCACGGCCGCTCGTGTCTTGTCGTCATCCTCTAGTGGTGGCCGTGGCCCTCCCTTGCCTCCTATGACCGCCGGCGTGCACGGTTCACGTGGATCTACATCCGACATGACTGTCGGATCCAGGGGCCGCGGTGGACATCGACAACCTGCGACGGCACCTGTTGCGGAAGACAACTTCGACGTCAACAATCACAATGTAGCTGAAGACAACGAGATCCAACAGATCTTTCCGAACGCTCAAGTCACGGTATATTTTCAAACCCAGAAATATATGTTATGTGTTGGATTGTTGCCGTTTTCGTAATGTATGTACCTATTGTTGCTATGCATGGATTAGGCTAGAGTCGACGGCGGAAATTGGTCAGATTGAAATACCGGACACTGTGTGAAATTTGGGTTGACCAAATTAATAAGAATAACTACGTGAGAGGAGTCATGAACAAGACAGGGATGAACGAGGTCATAGGAAGGTATTATGCAACAACCAATTTGGTCCATGATAGAGTGCAGATTGCTAATAGGATTAGGCAATTGAAGGGATATTGGCAATTCATACAAAGGCTGCGCAATGACACTGGCTTAGGCCATAGAGCTGATGGCACTATTGATGCAACTAACCAGTGGTGGGAAGACAACACCAAGGTAATTGCCAAACTGCTTGTTCGCTGTTTTGCATGTAGTAAGCTGTACACTAGCTCACAATGATAAGTTCTGCAGGGCCACCCAGACCAGAAGAAATGCAAGTTAGGGTGGCCAGATTACATTGATGAATTGGACCAAATGTTCCATGGTGTAGCTGTTGATGGCTTCACCTCATTTTGTTGCTGGAGAAAGTATGACTATGGATGAGGAAGACGAGAAGGACCCACTTGAGGACACTAATGTGTAGATCCTTGTTAGCATCACTAGCCATAAGAGAGCAAGCAGCACAAGCACCACTGGCTCTAGCCCGCGCAAGCTGACCAAGAGCCCAGTAGTTAGGAGCATGGACAAGTTCATGAGCGAGAACGCTAGGATTCAAGCTGAGAGGAATGTGATGATGCAGAAACATTTGGATGCCAAGCAGTAGATGGCCCAGCAGAAGGAGATTGCCAGACATCAAAAGATTAGGTATGTGCAGCAGTTGGTTAGAGAGTGTGGTGTAGAGGAGACAGACCGAAAGTTGTTGTATATTGTGCACAAGATCACCAAAGATGAGGACAGCATGGAGTTCTTCATTGGCACATCTACACCTGCAGGAAGGCTAGCCTTCATTGAGCACTATGCCGGGGTCAACCCCTAGATCCTCTTATCTTAACTATGTCTGTCTTTTTCACAATTCATGTCATGCGAACTATGTCTGTCATTGTAGTAAGGGTGTCATTTGAACTATATCTATTGTATTTGCACTATGTCATTTGAACTATGTTTGGCATTTGCACTATGTCAGTTGTGTTTGAACTATGTCACTTGTACTGTGTGTTGAATTTCAATTATGATTGTGATGTGAGCATGTTAACTTTTTACTGGCATATGTAACTGAGTTTGTGATGCATTTATGTGTCAGAATGGTAATTCAGCAAGGGATGGGGACAATTCTGATGAGTCAAGTGATGAGGAAATCTTCAGACTTGTTCTTGAGGATGATGACAACGATTTTATGAATGGTATGCTTCTGTATGCTATTCACCATGATAAATATTACAATAGGGCTAAGAGAAGGAAAACAATGCTAACTGGACTGGAATGGGTAGAGAGAAAGTTAGGAGATAGAAACAGCTACTACAACATGTTTAGAATAAGCCCAACTGTGTTTCATCGACTGCATGATCTACTGGTTGAATCATATGGCCTAAAATCTAGTACCAAGAGTACCTCGGTTGAGGCTTTAGGAATGTTCCTGTGGATGCTTGGAGCACCACAGTCAGTTAGGTAAGCTGATGATTGATTTGAGAGATCACTAGGCATAGTTCACAAACAACTTTGAGAAAGTTTTGCAAAATGTGGTTAAGCTAGCTGTAGACATCATTAAACCAGTGGACCTAGAATTTAGAACAACCCTAGGTTCCATCCCTTCTTCAACAATTGTATAGGAGTAATAGATGGCACTCACATGCCATGTGTGGTGCCAAGTAATAAGCTGGTTCAGCACATGTGCCGCAAGGGCATGACAACACAAAATGTGCTGGTTGTTTGTGATTTTGACATGAGGTTCACATTTTTTCTTGCTGGATGGCTTGGTTCTGTACATGACATGAGAGTGTTCACCGATGCTATGACCAAGTACATCCACGTCTTTCCACATCCACCTACAGGTAAACACCTTCCTGCTGTTCCATTTGTAGCTTCTACTTGAACTAGGTGAAACTTACAAAACTGTTCCATTGTGTAGGAAAATTTTACCTGGTGGACTCCGGCTACCCAAACCGTCTAGGTTACCTTGCGCCCTACAAGGGAACCAAGTACCATCTTCCGGAGTATCGAGACTGCCCGGAGCCACAAGGTAAAAAAGAGATCTTCAACTACGCACATTCATCTCTTAGAAATGTTATCGAGAGGTCGTTTGGAGTTTTAAAGATGAAGTGGAGGATGTTGTTGCAAATGCCAAGTTATCCACCTCATAAGCAAAACCAAATTATTGTTGCATGCATGGCACTTCATAACTTCATTAGAACGAGTGAAATAGTGGATAGGGACTTTGATCGTTGTGATCGTGATGAGAACTATGTTTCACCTGAAGCATCGGCCTCTCAACCATGTACTCGTCAAACGCCGGCAAGGGATGAATATGCAATGATGAATGCTTTTCCGTGACTCGATTGCCCTTGGTTTGTTAAACCGATCATGACAATTGGAATGGTGTACTTCAATGTAACATGTATGAGTGATTTGTGTAGTTGAGGACAATTGAGTTGTGTACTTGAACTATTCAATAATTATGCAATAAAGTGTAATATTTGATTGTTTGAAAACAATGC